CGCCGACTCTATTGGCCACAAAGACCGACCATCTTCGAGAAGGGGAGGCGATCCAATTTAGGCTAATTGTCGAGTCCGACCAAAGGAAGATCTGTATGTAGGATACGTCCAATGACGCTTGTACACTTGCAATCAGACGAGCCAACAGCAAGGCCGCCGACAACTCGAGTCTGGGCAACGACGTGGCCTTAATAGGGGCCACACGAGATTTTGAGCATAGCAACTCGGAATGGTACTCCCCGGAACTTGACTCGGTGCGAACATATATACAAGCTCCGTACGCGCTTTGGCTAGCGTCGCAGAAGCCGTGCAACTGTATGAAGTGGAGGTCCGAATTGAGCCTCACTCCCCGGGGGATGCGTATTTGGTTCAGGTCGAATAACTGAGCTCTGAGCTTTAGCCATCGCGCATGGAGGTTTTGTGGGACTGACTCATCCCAGTGGACGCCGGATTGCCAGAGTTCCTGTAGTATCAGCTTGGCAATGACGATCGTGGGGCCTAATAGTCCCAATGGATCGAAACACCGAGATATTTCGGATAAGATTACCCGCTTGGATACGACGTTGCACGTGGGCTCGAGCTCGCATGAAAATAGAAGCATGTCCTGGGATTGACTCCACCTAATGCCCAGAACAGAAGAATCGTCGCTGTTTAAACTAATCAATTCACCGTTATGCTTCCGTAGGGATTCTAACAATTGAGGGCAGTTTGACGCCCATTTGCTAAGCTCAAAGGATCCTGCCCGCAAAAGTCGTATGACCTCATCTCGAATCTGTTCAAGCTCGCGAATGGAGTCGGCCCCGGTGAGCAAGTCATCGACGTAGAAATCACGTTTGACGCAAGGCGATCCAAGAGGAAGTTCAGCGGAGTGTTGCTCCGCTAAATGGATGAAACATCTTGTGGCTAGAATTGAGGCTGCAGACGTCCCGTATGTTATCGTTAACAGCTCGTAAGTGCCGACCTCGTCTTCAGGATTGTTTCTCCAAAGAATTTTCTGTAAACTCGTTTGGGCCGGATCCACTAGCACCTGTCTGTACATTTTTACAATATCCGTGGTTATCACGTAGCGAAAGTATCGAAAACGTATTAGTATTGAAGCGAGGTCTTGCTGAACCACTGGGCCCACTCCCAAGACATTGTTCAGGGAAACCCTCGAGTCGGACTTGCATGAAGCAAAGACGACGCGGAGCTTCGAGGAGCCCCCGGTGGGCTTGACCACACAATAGTGAGGCAGATAGAATGTTGGCGCGCCCTTGCCAGAAGGCATGGTTACCCTCCGCATGTGCCCTAAGGCTAAGTACTCTTCCATGAATGGGGGGCTGTATTGAGACTTTAGTGATGGGTTGCGCGAGAAACGTTTTTCCAAAGATCTCAATCTCTTGAGTGCAATTTCTTGAGAGTCACCTAATTTGGAAAGAAGATGTTCTTTGATGGGAAGCTTTACTATGTATCGGCCTTGCGAATTCTGCGAGACGTTATCGACAAAATGTTTTTCGCAAAATCTTTCTTCGGGAGAATAAGTACTTGAGGCCGCGAAATTTTCATCCAGTTGCCAAAGACGGTCAACTTGGTCATGCAATTGCCGGTTAGTCACTATCGCGTGATTGGAATGCACCCATAGGGGCGAACTCGCTGCGCCGAAGCGACCGGCCAAAACCCAACCTAATCTGGTCTTTTGTAGCAATGGATGGTCGGTCGAACCGCCTATCTGCCCGACACACAGTAATTCCCAGAATAGTTCGGCACCTATCAGAATATCAATTTCAGAGGAGACATTGAAGTTCGGGTCAGCCAAGGATATATTGCGCGGAAGCTTCATGGCCTTACGCTTGAACGAAGCGACCGGAAGGTTCTCAGTCACCCGTTCGGAAACGATGCATTCCGTTATAGCGGTGTAAGCGCTTACACGAGATTGTAATCGTATCTTAGCCGATTGCGTGGACGTCGTCGCGGAACCGTTCACGCCGGTGATGGTAACGTTTAATGGCCGAGGCTTTAGTCCCAGGGTTGCTAGAAATTGTTTAGAAATGAAATTGGCCTGCGAACCGCAGTCCAATAGCACGCGACAGGGTCGAGGAGTGCCCTGGCAATCGAACGCGTAAACGACGGCCGTTGATAGAAACACATCGTTACCATCGGAATTATATGAGGCGTGGGTGGACGTAACTTGCATAACATTAGCAGGCTTAAAATTTCCGGAATCCTCGCCATTCTGATCAGTAGCCGCGGGGGGAGCCGGTGTTGAATGCAAAAGAGTGTTATGCCTGACCTGACATACCTTGCATTTGCCTGAAGGGCATCTACCTGCACTGTGAGACTTGGATCTTAAACAGTTGGTACAAAGTTTTCGACTGCGAATTTCGAGGTTTCTTTGCTGAACGGGGAGAGCTAAAAAATCCTTGCAATGATAAATTGAGTGTTCTCCCTTGCAATAGTTGCATTTTGTTTTAATGGTCGCGAGACAAGACAGTTGACGCTTCGAATCAGATTGAGAATTTCTAGCCGCCCCTTTCGCGACGCTGTTACTTGGCTTTGTGCTTGCTTCCAAAGCTTGACAGTAATGGTTGAGAAAATCGAAGAACTGTTTAAGAGTGGGCAGCTCGGCTCCCGTCAAGGAGGACTGCCACTCACGGGCCGTGCGCGAATCGAGTTTCGAAGTCAAAATGACAATTAATATGTCGTCCCATTTGTCGCATGGTCGCTTCAAGGCTTGAAGCGCATGTAAATGTTTCGCGGCTCCGTCCGCGATTTGTCGTAATTCGATATAATTTTCCTTAGCTAGTGAAGGTAGCTCCATTATGGCTCTAATGTCATTTTGCATGACGACGCGTTGATTATCGTAACGCTCCCTGAGACGCGACCATGCGACTTCGTAATTGGCGTCGGACAGTTCCAACGAACAGATAATGTTACTTGCTTCGCCGATAACCGACGATTTGAGGTACTGCAGTTTTTGTGCGTTACTGAGCGCGGAATTGAGATGTATGACAGAGTTGAACATATCGCGGAATGGGAACCACTCATCGTACTTGCCCGAGAAACTCGGAAGACTTAATTTTGGAAGTCGCACGTGAGATACCGATTCAGGCGCCCCCCGCGAGTCAGCGGTGGACGACGAGACCGCGCCTGACCCGCGTGCTGGCGGCGCTGAAGCGGTTAATTCTCTTATTCTGGCGGCTAAAGAATAGAATGCCTCTTCGAAAGCGATGCGATCGCTGGCCTCGGCATCATCGGCGAGCTCTAATCTGGTTTGTACGGTGTTGTACTCAATCCAGGAATTTTCTAGCTTGCTTTTACGCTCCTCGAGCTGAGCGATTACTAATGCAGAAGGCTGACCTATTGAATCTACGTACGTTTTGATACGCGTGCAGGAAGCTTTGATAAGCCCGCGCTGTTTTTTCAGCATAGCGAGGTCCTGAACCGACATGATGACGCGAGCTACGACAAATGGCGGATTACCACGAGCTTGATCGGCAACAGCACCAATGAGCTTGCCTTACCTCGATTATACTCGTTCGCGTATGCGCAAGAACGTCCGAGTCGACTGTTGACTTCCTTGACTGTGATGTCCTGTTGGCAGCGCTGGTCGGTCCGGATGACGCCCGTGGCGCCTTTGCGTACTGAGCCCTTGTCAGATGTCAGCTGCTTGGCGAAGAGGCGTCGTCCCGCCGTCGCCAGGGATGCGTGAGCCTCAAAATGTCCACGGGATAAACTCGGCAAAATGGCTGCTTCCTGACGCTGTCTGCGTTATCGTTGTACCGTGTGACGGCCCTCCTTGCGCACAACTTGACCCCGTGCCCACTGCGAGGGTTCTTTGGTGACCTTCGTGAGGAAATTCCGATATTGGAACTTGTGAATTTCCGGCTGCATATCGTAGTGATGCCTCGTTGTAAATATGGCGGGCCCTCGTTGCACCTCGTGCCTGAACTGTTTGTACTGCTTGTCGCAAATGCGTTCTTGAGGCGCTGATTCTTCTCCTGATTTTCTGCCGCAACACCGATTGAGATGCTACTGCCGGGAATACGCGTGTATCCGGCTCGAAGGACCAATGTTCGTTAAATGTTCTTGCGCGTGAGCTCACTGCAGACACACGTGCACTTCCACACTGTTCTCGAGGAGATATAGCCAGCGAGATTGTGGTCGAGAAGCCTTGCCTACTTCTCTCTATTTATATCGGTGCACCCTCGGTACGTTTACGGTAGCAGAGCGGAGAAACTCGTAACTGGATAACTTTCGCACGCGAGGCTTTAGCTTGCCTTGATCGCGCGGTCGGTCCTTTGCGTGATCGATGCCCGAAATCCTTACAACGAATGGCGGTCCGGTATGATTACGCGAGGATGCGCACATGCTCACGCGGGGTGCGCGGACGACTACCGCACTACTTTGCTCGCGCGACCAATGGCAACGGCGCGATGACAAGTCAGTGCGCGCAACGTTACCGAATCCGACCAATATCAACGGAATCTCGAACATCGTGAAAAACCTCATCGCTCGTCGTCTCGTTATCAGCGGAGCCATCTCGTGTAGCGTTGTCTTCTGCGTTTTCGCTGAGGGCGTCTTTCTGCCTTCGCGTTTCTTGGATAAATCGTAGGTATCGCCATAATACCTCTCTGTACATTTTCCATCTCTCACTTTCGTCGCGTGGCCAGTCAGAATTAAGAATACGGCCCATCTCCGCATCGAGTCGTGTTAGATGAGTTCCGGGAGTTTGCGCTGTGCTATTAGTGCTCGCTGTGTTATCCGAATTTTGCGGTACTACGCTTTCTTTTGACTCTCCGTCAGCGAATGATGTCGGATTCTAACGTAGCTGATGTTGCATTCTCTCGAGATTTTCCGTCGAAATTAAAACCATTTTTTTGGCCCTCTCCATAACGTTTTATCCCACTATTTCGTTCCTTCGATAATTAGCGATAATAAGGTCGATAATATAGGACCGATAATATAAGGTAAAAATCCGCCTCGCTGCACCAACAGCTTTCTTTTATCCTTCCAATTACCACGTTTTGCAACGATACGACGTAGAGGCGTTTTGAATTTGGTTAGCCGATTTTTTTCACAACGTTCGAGCGAGACGTTACCTTTGAGTGTATTAAAAACACATTCACAGATACAACGAATAAGTTTTTCGTCCGCGGTGCGTAGGAAGGTCGTGCGTTGATTTTTGTTCAGATGGTAGAGGGCCGCGAGAAGACAGGCGTTTCTTTTATCGATCGAATGTGTGGTGATTTTCGTCGCACTGTGCGATTTCTCGTCACTTGTCTTCATCGCGAGAAAAAACGTACGACTGACTGGTACTATCACACGTGCTCGTCTTTTATACGAATCCGTTCGAAAATGATCTACGTGACACGTAGACGTAATGAGTCGTATCTTCGGGAAAAATACACGCTCGAAATCGATACTCGTCCGGAGTTGATTGTTTCAGATCGAGCAGCAAATAGCCGTGAGGCCTCGACGTAGCGTCGTAGTATGCCTCTTCTAGAAATTTCGGATCGTCGGGATATACTTGACGCGCTAAATGACGAATTTGAGCGCGATCACGTGGATTTTTGAAAACTACGATGTAATTCGCATTGAGAGATATATCACGCTGTCCACGGCCCTGATGGAAGAGATTCTGCGAGATAAGAATAACGCTGAGATTCTTGTGATGACTGCCTTTAGTAAAAAGATCAACGATTGCGTCGCTCGACGACGATTCTCTCATAAGATCATCGATTATCACCAATTTTGGAGAAAACGGATCGTTCGAGTAATCTTCCGGACGAGGTAAACCCTCGCGAAATTCAATTATATTCTTCTTTATCGCCGCTTTACCGCTGTCGCTTCCCCTGCTCTGTTCTTCGTCCACTTTTACACGAGAGTCGAATTGTAACTGACGATAGGCTTCTTGCCACTCCGCGTAATAAAATAAAACTCTCTTAAAATTCACGTCGGACATGAGTGGTAAGTATCGGAGAAAACTCTTTACGAAAATCGTTTTCCCACAACCGGTCGGCCCGCACACGATCGAAGTCCAGGGATGTTTCCAGCGTACGTCCATTTTGCGAAACGATCAATTCGATTTCCCGTGCGTGACTTCAAAAGTAAAAAGAAAAACGACGCTTAATAATCACGAGAAAGCAACGAAATTTAAGGAGTGGAGGGGGGAAATAAGCTGACCCTCGCGACGGTGGGCCCCCCTCGCGACGGGGGTGAGCTTACATCCGCGCGGTCCCGTTAGCAAAGAGCACCGCGACGAACAAAGAGCTAACCTCGTCGCGGTGCGACGCATACAAGCTTAACTTCCGCGTCAATGCTCACAATTGTGAATAGCGTTTAATTGCCTCGCCA